ATCCTGGAGGCGTGTCCTTGGCAATCCATCACCGCAGACGGAGAGCATATTTGCATAGAACCAATCAAAATGTTTTTTAAAACACTGTTTGCGTAATGCGGCGCCGTCACTCACTTTTCATCAGCGCGGCTGCGACTCCGGCAAGTCACGTTCACCAAAAACAAGTTTGTGGAAATTGCATCTCCGTCCCCATCTCACAATCTGAAGCCATCTCTCAGAGGGAGCTGCTGCAGGAGTGGAAAACCCACACAGATCATCCTGTAAAATGAGGTGGCTTATTCTGTCAGCAGGGGAAAATGTTGTCGGATTGGACTTCTTGCACAAAGCAGCTGTACAGCTTGTACAGTCAACAATATGAATCTAGATGGATACCAGATTAACTTTAAATGCCTTACACTGTTATCATGCAGCCTGACCTGTTAGTTATGCTCTGCAGGAGCTCAGTTTAAAACATCTGAGTAAGAAAGAGGCCTATAAACGATGAATTCCTTATAAATGACCCGTCTCTTACTGCCATTAGTCCTGTGCCACCTGTGATCACATCTAAACAGCCTGTGAGAGGTTCAGTCTGAAGCTAGAAAACCACACAACACCGTCTCCATGCTGCCAAACCAACCTGCAGGCTGGTTTCCACTGTGGCTGCTGTGCACAGTGTTCCTACTCATCAGACACCTGCTCTACACGTCCACTTAGGGGGAGAAGAAACCCCATTAAGTCCTTTATCAGCCGCAGTATTGTTTATGGGTTGAAATGTCCCGGTGGTCTGGTGCACGCCGGACAAACAAAAAGAGCTTTAAAGATTTGCATATCTCAACACAAGACTGCAGTACGTTCACAGCTCATGGATTACTGCCGACCCGACATCATGTACGGGCCAATCACGGCGCCGCAGCATCACTGAAGTTCTGGGCTCCAGGAAACATCCTCTCTGCTCCCAGAGGAGGAGACTTCAGAGAGTTGCTCCTCTGCACTGAACCCACACCTTAAACTCAGTCAGACCTTCTGGCATTAACGAAGAACCGTCACGTTATCTCTGCGCTGTCAGCTCTGACAGATGGTCATAGTTGTACTTTTGTACCTTTTTCCTGCCAACTTCAGGACAGCTTTGTTTTGTTTGTGACGTGATGTATGGCCCGCTCACATCCACGAATTGATTGACTTGTCATGTTTTCTCTGGACTGTCACCTTTAAGAGATGTTTCTTCTGATACTTTTTGTTCTTCTGTCTCTCTAACTTTTAGAAGAGTCTGTTTCTGTGCTGCAGACATGGTGTTGGGGTGCAGCACCGACGACAGACCCGTTCCAGAAAATTAGAATATCGTGGAAACGTTTGTTTATTTCCATAATTCCATTCAAAAAGTTAAACTTTCATAGATTATAGATTCAGGGCCCACAGTTTGAACAATCTCAAGTATTTATTTGTTTATTTTTACATAATTTGGGCTTCCAGCTCATAAAACCCACAAAAACAGGAATTCAAAAAATTAGAATACTGTGAAGAAATCAGCCCAGATTTTGCAGGACATGAATGTTTTAAACTGAGCGTCACACACTAATCATCTACTAGACTCACAGCACCTGCTCAGGTTTCCCAGGTGTCACTACATCACTTCAGTTTGGTTCAATTTGTCTGAGTTCAGTTCAATATGGGGACGAGTGAAGACTTGACAACTGGCCAGAAGGTCATCATTGATACCCTCCATAGGATGGTGTGTCATCAGCGTCACATGTGTGCGACCATGTTTACAGTTTGGCTAATGGTGTGTCATCAGCGTCACATGTGTGCGACCATGTTTACAGTTTGGCTACGCTAATATATGGACTGACATGTTTACAGTCAATGTTTTTAAGAATTGCACTTGTTCTGTCCTCTAACGTCACATTAAGTAGCAGCGCCACGTCTCTGTCGGTCCAAACAAATGACCCGTCATCGTTGAAGTTTTCATTGTTGAGTTTTTTTCCAGGATTCTGATTGGCTAGCATGGCTGTATGCTTCTCGTTACACTGCCCCCTACAGGTCTGGCAGCTCACAGCAGCTCATGTGAAGATTTTTTAAAAACAATCTGGTGTAAACGATGTTATTTTTGAAACCGTAGATCTGTTTTTGTGAATAAACGTGGCCTCAGTCAACTCCCATCCTCAGATTGTTTCATGTAGTAGATTTGAAGGCCTGTTCAACCTGCTGTACACCTGGTGCAGGTCGAATAAATGTGTTGTTCTCATGTCTTAGTCCACTTTGACTCTTAAGCCCCGTTTACACGTAGTAAAAACGGTGATATTTCAGCACATCTGGTTTAGTATTCTGATTGGCTGGCATGGCTGTATGCTTCTCGTTACACTGCCCCCTGTAGGTCTGGCAGCTCATAGCAGCTCTTAATGACGTATTTATGTGGGTTTGTGTAAACGAGGTGAAACATTAGTGCACAATGAGAAGCTGTGAATTAAGCAGCGTCCCCCAGCTTCCTGTTTCTACTCTGGAAGTTTGCTGTCGCACCTGTTTCAGCTGTATTTTACGAAAAGACACGTGAAGAACCCTGTTTCTACTGATGACTAAATTCCTTCTAGCTGCCTCGGTGTCAGGGCGCTCATGACGTGCACGCCGGCTCCCGGTCACGCTGCCGTGGTTAACTGGGACGCCCGAACAGAGCGGAGCCATTGTTCATGTCATTAGCAGCACCTGTGTTTCCCTGCTGGGACAAGTCAAGATGTCTGCTACGAGAATACGTCTTTCTGTTGATTTGTGAGGATGGGAGACCTTTAGCGTCGACTCCGATCTCTGCAAAAGTAACTAGCGAGTGAAATACCTTAATGTAAAAGCAGGGCCTTCTTTTTGATGGCGTGATCAGATCAGACTGTATTGTGACAGGGTAGACCATATTATATTCCACTGAATGGTCCACTGTGGTAGAATCAGACATACCAGTCAAACACACACCACGTCTCTCCACTGTTGGGGCAAAAGGTAAATTTTAGAATATAGCAGCAAAATCCTTTTTTCATCCTTTCAAAACAGACAATAAATCTATTTTGTGGCTTCGGCCTGCTCCGGTCAGGCAGGTCAGAGATGCACAGCTTGGCCTCTTCATTTCCATAACCTCTAACCCCTCACACGTGGAGTCCAACCAGGCAGAAACGAGGCGGTTTGATAAACTGCTCACTCGAGTGCACAGCCACATACTTTACAGCACAATGACAGGGTGTTTCCCCTTGAAACACAATGGGCTGTGGCTAATCAAAACCCCCCTGGGGAATGGGAGGTCGCTGGAACCGGTGAACAGCTCAGACAAACCAAAATGTGTCCCAAGGTGAAGCCTATCTCGCAGCACAAAGCGCACACATGGGGAACATATAAATACCGTCCCGCCGTTATTGTGCCAGATCAGGGAGTTGTTAAGGCTGCGATTTCTACGTGTTGACATCTTTATTTTTAAATGCACAAAGAGGCGACACCTTTAAGTAAGCGCTGCGATGGGTTGTGAGTTTGTCTGGCGGCCAGCACCTTCATCCTCTCTCCCTCTCATTACCGTTGGCGCTAAGCAAAGCGGTCTTAGAGCGGCCGAGCATGAGCTGCCTGCTGTCCAATCTCCATATTAAAGACCAAATAAAAGGTCAGCTTAACAACACCTAAACAGTTATTGACAGGTCAGGAGGACGGAGGAGGGAGAGGCGGGAGGGGAAGGTCAGTAATCTAGATAAATACCATACGGTTGTGAAATTGAAGCTGTCAAAATATGCAGATCAGGAGGGAGGAGTGAGATCATTGCTCAGGGAGCAGTGGCCGACGACAGTCTGCTGCAGGACTCACACATGAGGCTAAATGAGAAAAGCCTTTGATTTAAAAACTGTCACATCTCCATGGGCCATGAAAACCTACATCTATCACCTCAGAAGGATGTATACGATCAGTAGAATTACTTCCAGATCAATAGTGGGATCTGTAGCCCACTTCAGAGGAAATCGATGCTGTAACAATGCCACGGTGTCTGCAGCACCGAGCCGCTCCCTGCTATAGGGAGGATGCTGCTGCTGCCTGCAACAATCATCGTCTTTTTCATGCTTTCCACACGAGGAGAAACGTTTATAAAAGGAGCTGGAGGAGAGGCAGCGGGCGATATGGATTAGAAATGAATAAATGCTCCCTCAGTTTATGCTTTATTGTCCTCATTGAACAAATAACTGTGAAAGGGGGTAGACGGGGAGTAGATGAGTCCCTGTCGCTGCAGGTCACAGGAGTCCTCGATCACAGTCATTAGCTATCTGTCGATGTATGAAGCGTCTTATTTTACCCTCATACGGCAGAAAGATGTGAAAGATAACGCAGTGGGGGAAAGTCAAAGGTTAGTCCGGCTTTGTGAAGTAATTAAAGTATATTATGTTATTATATTATATGAGTATGACTGATTACTGTGTGTAATTTGCTTTATTTG